AGTTTGTATGAAGTGACCTAGATGAGGATCAGGTGACCTGATGGCTGATTGCGTCTTACTTTACCTCAAGGGTTTGGATTGTTGTTCATGCTGTCAGTCACAGAGGGGTAGCCTAGTGGTTGGAGTGGTAGCTTGCCACCTGAAAGCCCTGGGTTTGATTCCCCACATAGGTGTGATGTGTCAAGCCATTTTGTAGTGGCCTTGCTGTTTCTTTGCTGGAAGTTGGTGTGAAACCATATTCACTCACTCACTCTAAAGCAATGGTTTGCCAATTGAAATATTGCTGAATGTGATGTCAAACAGCATTCACTCATCAATTCATTCTCTTCTCAAGGTCATGCTTTAGTTTTGTCAGATTTGGGTAATAATTGTTGGTTGTTTTCTTCAGGTACTGTGCTACCAAATGCAATTATGTTGGGTTCAAGTCATTGTATTGTGCAATAACTGTTGCCATGGTAACACAGGTAGCAGTTGTATGCGAGCTGGTCAAGGCACATGTATATCTGTGTTTCCATTGCCACTGGGTCAGATTGTTTCATTGTACATAACACAGTCATATGTATGCATTGTTTGAAAGTTCAGTGGCATGAGTTAGGGATGGCACCGATGTATTGATGTATACATGTTACACCTGACAATACCACTCACCATCCATGAATGGTTACTGTTAAAATATGTGTTTATTTTGTAATACATTTTAATACATGTACCCAGTTTTGCAATAACCTTACCCTGCACCTACTCAACATGCGGAATCTCCCCTTGTCATGGCTCTGTATGCTAAATGAACTTGTATTTCTCTACTAGGTACTGACTGTTTAATATTCTAGGCAAGCATGAGGGAAATGTTGTATATTATCAGGACAAACTACGGTATAAAGTACAGATTCTATTACTTTTAAGGGTTGAGTCCCTCCAGGATTTGAACCTACTCTCTCAGATTTAAGCACCCAGTCGCCAGCAAACAAAATCAGGAACCTAACTCCGCCACTGCCGCTTACACAATAATGGAAGTCTAACAACTGGCCCCAATTTCTCGAAACAAACTAAGTCTGAGTTTTAACTTAAGTTTTTACTCAAATTTGAAAAAGTGAAGGTAATGGCATTTCCCAGAATAAACTTAAATCAATATTATAATTCAAATTTAGCAGACAATTTGAGTTTGATGGAAAGATTACTTAAGTTGTTTGGGCTTTTTTTATTTTTAAAAATGTAGTTGAGTTAAAAATTCAGCTGTTTCAAATTGTCAAACTCAGTTTGAAATTTGAGTAAAAACTTAAGTTTGTTTCGAGAAGTCGGGGCCTGGTAGTCTCAATCACATACGTTGTGTATCCTCTGAAGAGTGTAAATTTGACCTAATTAGATTTAATTTGACACCCATGGCCAAAATGTCCTGACCTGCCATGATATGACTGGAATAGGTTAGACCCAACTCACTCACTCACTCTCCTCTAATGAATTATATAATTAGCACCAGAGTTGATATAATGATTATCTTGGTTATCATACATGGTGTATATGCATGTTATATATGGTTATAACACTGTTGATAATATGACACTATCGTATACAGTACTCAATATTCCCAGTGGGTTTAGGGGTATATAGTGTTACAGTCATAACAGATATTGTGCCCTCTATAGAGGTATTACTACACAGATTGTTTTTGAGAGAGTTAAACGTCGACTCCTATTTCATAAATGGAGCACACTTTGTAACCTATATCAGCTGTGTTTCCACCTGTAGGAAACTGTTCGTATTTAAGAGTTGCCTTTAAGGTTCTTTTAATATGTTTATTGATAGTGTTAGAATGATCAAAGTTGCTTCAAAGCATGTAGGCAAGTCACTAGCCCTGATTTACACCAGCTTACCTTTTTAGTGCTTTGAGTGGAGTTTTCTGTTGTTGGTTGGTACAGTGCTCGCATAAGAATATAGTTTGACTGGTAAAGGATAAACACAAGACTGAAGACAGTATTTGACTGGCCTTGGTTAGAGACTAGAATTGATTTGTTATACTGGTTATAAGGAAAACTCTAAAGTTGGAGGCAGATAAGAATTTGTTTTAGTTTTGTGAAATTTAAATTATTTACAAACAGAACTTGGTGCCGTCTTAGAGCAGTAGATAGAATAGTGCTGACTCGGCATAAAACAGTGCTGACTCGGCATAAAACAACGTCCACCCACTCACCATTCCATGTATAATGGACTCTACTTCAGATTATTTGTACTCAATACTCTGAAGCTTCATTGCATTGTTTCTGATTCTGCTATTTCTGTATGGTTTTGTTACAGCGAAACTGGCATTCCTTTTTTCATTGTGATAATTTTCATTGTATAATTGTGTAACTATGGCAACGTTTCTCCTGTCACCATGGTATCGTGTCATTGTAACCATGCCAACTGGCAGAATGTTTATTTTATGCACCAGATGTGATAGGAGTGACCAATGTTTCATTACGAATAAAAAATATTTATGAATCTATTGCCATGCTTACAGTGATTTTGTTGTACAAGTATTGGACATGGGTGACCCAACCTTCCCTACATGGTACAATGTTTGAAGCTCATTTCTTGTGTCCCCTTCTGTGATATTGCTGGAATATTGCTAAAAGTAGTGTAAGACTAACAGCCTCATTCTCAGTCCCACAATTCACTGTGCTGGGTTGCTCTTCTCCGAAGAGTCCAATAATCCTGGGTTCAAATCCCAGATTGGACCTGGTTATAGTCCCTGGTTTGTCAGCACCTGGCTTGGAAGGTTTCACCAGATCTGTAGTCAATTCAACTATCGTAGTGTTCAAGGTGTGACACCGGACTAATTTCAGAAGTACATCATAGCCTCATTGTCTCAGTGCCTGTGCTAGGACTAACAGGTACAGGGGCGGTGGGGTAGCCTAGTGGTTAAAGCATTCACTCGTCATGCCAAAGACCCGGGTTCAATTCCTCACATGGGTACAATGTTTGAAGCCCATTTCTGGTGTCCCCCGCCGTGATATTGCTGGAATATTGCAAAAAGCAGTGTGAGTGAGTGAGTATGGTTTTACGCCGCTTTTAGCAATATTCCAGCAATATCACGGCGGGGGACACCAGAAATGGGCTTCACACATTGTACCCATGTGGGGAATCGAACCCGGGTCTTCGGCGTGACGAGCGAACGCTTTAACCACTGAGCTACCCCACCGTCCCTAAAAGCAGTGTAAAACTATACTCACCGAGAATCCTCTGTCAGAATACGTTCTCTGTGGGGGATAGAACCAGTCTCAGTATTATTCGTTAAACTGCTATACTGAGTCTAACAAACCCTAGTAGAAGGTCGCGGGTTACCAAATCGCGAAAGTTATTATTTGCACATACTGTTTGAACCTTTACCTAAAAAACTCGAACGATTCTGAATACTATTTTCCGCACGATCGCTTCCGAGTGATACACATGGAGGACATGAGTAAACAGTGGCTGAACATAGTGTTTTTGTCAATATTCAAGGATGTCATCTTGCAGAAACAGAAGCTAATAGTAACCATGTCATCAGAAACCCCTAAGCATATATACTGCAGGTCAAATATCTGTGTTTTATGCGGATTTTCGTTTGTTGATAGATCAGTGTCAGGGACCAGGGAAGAGAAAATAAAAAAAACGTTTTGTAAGTCCCGCCGAACCTAACAAGTAGTCGTCTGATTGGTTAAATCTGTTTGGCCGTCTCATGTTTGATTGGACGGTCATAGATTAGCTGACGCGACCTTCTACTAGGGTTTGTTAGACTCAGTATAGCAGTGTAGCGAATAATACTGAGCCTAAGTTTACCTAGACTGGGGATATAACCAGCCTCTGTACACAATGTCAGGGTAACATCTCAGTACATGTTATGTCTCCCTGTTATGATATCAGTGTAGCTAGTTACTCTCTACTAATGTGACCCGTGAAGGCCCGGGTTAGAATATTTATCTTCAGTAACCCCTGATTGTCGTAAGAGCGACTAACAGGATCAGGTGGTCAGGCTCGCTGACTTGGTTGACACATGTCATCGGTTCCCAATTGCGCAGATCAATGCTCATGCTGTTGATCACTGGATTGTCTGGTCCAGTCTCGATTATTTACAGACCGCCGCCATATAGCTGGAATATTGCTGAGAGCGGCGTAAAACTAAACTCACTCACTCTACAAATGTTGACATGTTACTACACAGAGCTGTGGGCTGTTCATCAGTTTTCCCTATGAAAACTGTTCCCACTGTAAATAAACTACAATTGCCTTCAGAGGAGTAGCTATTTGCCCAACTGTCTGTGCTTATTGGGTTGGGATCATTGAGAGGTTACAAACTTTTGGCAATAATTGGTGAGCACAAATCTCTATGTAATGTACATGTATCCTACTTGATAAGTGAATATTCTATTACTTTAACTTTAAATATTTGTATTGAATGTGAGTGGACAGGGAAGGAAGTCCTGATGCAAGCACTTTGAAGTATATGACATTACACAAGTCACAAATCTAAGGGGTTGCAATTAGCTGTGCAGAGTTGACCCCCTTGGCCCACCAGTAAGCAGTGACTGTGGGTGTAATCTTGGTTCACCATATTATTTCTTGGTTAGTCTACACCATAGTCATACTAGTGGGTTTCACTAAAGTTGTAAAATCAGAGACCTGCATCACTTTGAGCTTTCCATTATTATTATTATAGGATATTTATATTGTACACATATCCACGCAACTAGTGCATGCTCAAGGCACTGGTATTTTTCACCTCGATCATTGGATGTCAATCTCAACGGCACATCGTATTATCAATCTCAACTCCCTGGTGAGCATACAACTCTTGCAGCCACTAGGTGCACCGTGGCTTTCTCATCCATCTACAACAGTTGCTCTGATGTACCTGAAATACTGTTGAATGCCCTGTGAAAGAGGAGTCACTCACATACAGACTACAGCATCCCATGACAAACACTCACACTAGAATCACAGCGCGAATAAGCAGTCAGTGGAACAAGTTACAAAACAAATGATTTCTACAATATATAAAATTTATTTCTAGATTTAGATTTTAGAGCATGAAATTTGTGGTGACATGATTGATATATATATATATACTGATAACAAAATATGATCAAAAATACTGTTCAATGCCTGTCTGACACACCTGTTCTCCATCAGTACTTGGAATATATTACTGATTTCTTTTCCTTCACGGACTCTGCTGTTGCTGAAACGATGTTGTACCAATCAGCTTAGACGTCATCCCAAGGCAAGGGAGGTAAATGAGGGTAAAGATCCAGTTTCCACCTTTATGGAACTACACTGATATTATGGAGTTGGTATCATGGACTAAGAACATGTTGCATAATCTGATCAAAATCACTAAATGAAATCAACATACAGTTCAAAAACAAAATGGCGACTTAACTGGCTTGCAGGTTTCGGCAGAACATATGTGCAATTAATGGAGTGATGTCGGATCTTCTACAAATTGTTTCATGTCAGCGGTCATTAGGAAGGACATATAAGTAACATGTAATAACCACCGGCTGCACCAGACTGACCCATCCATGTTATGTTTGGGATAACATTTTTTTCAGTGACATATAGATTCCTATATTCAGGAAATTCCAGCCAAGTTTGGTAAGGTTGAAAACTTGACGTGCACAGTAAGTTAAGTCTGGCCTTGGGAAGATGGCTGAAGATTCAGCAACACTGAAACGCCTGGGTGCCGTTGTACAAAGCGGTCTTAGCGTTAAGGTGACCGTAACTCCAATACTTTAACATAGACTTAAGGTAGCCTTAGCGTTAAGGTTGTTTTGTACAACGGCACCCAGTACAGCTCTGTACTGAATGTAAATATGTGCTGTCACAGCTTCAGTCTATTGACAACTAATACTATTCTGCCATACCGTGACATATAAGCCTTAATAATTCATAATCTATTTGCTTATGTCCCACATAAACAAATTCAAAATAATCATCAGGACACTTTCTCGGTCCTAAATAGTTTGTTCCACAGTCATGAAATCAAACAGGTCAAGTATTTCATCTCCATTGACAGCCAAACAGTACAAAGTGCTCCAACTTCTGTTGCATTTCAACAAACTGAATAAATAAAAGAAATCCAGTTTCCTTATTTCCTCAGCGAATGACACTCTTCACAATAAAGTCTGGAAACTCACATGGAAAGAAAACAAAGCAATATTGCAGAATAATGACCACTGACCAGGAGGCACCAGGAACACGATCTCAGGTCATCTGGGAAATAACAACTTAGGATTTGTATCCTGTCTGATCCACAGAAAAGTCTTAATTCTAAGCTGCAGAGAAAGTTGAAAAATTGTTACAACTTAAAGAAACTAAAAAGATATGAGCAAGTTTATATTAGCTTATGTTAAAGAGAAATATGCTTCCATACGCACACTTAAGCCACATTTTTCATCAATGTTTGGTTCAGCTGTAAGTCCACAACCTGCTTGTGTTAAAAAAGCAAAGACCAATTCTCATTTATGTAGACATATCTGAAATCTTCATTATGATTCCAAACTGTTGTTCATTTATTAAATTACTCACAACTTGTGGGTACGTAAAGGCCCTCATCACACCTGTCTGTACAAGTACGCCTGTCAAGGGAGATAACTGATCCCCGCAGTCCTTCCAAGATCCAGTCTGACAACAGGCATGTGAAATAAAGTTGTCTTCAGTTAAATATCTTGTCTTTACTGATATTCTGGCTAGTTGTGTAATATTGCAGTGTTTGCACCCCCTCTAATCAGTGATAGCGTGTTCTGTAAGGGCCGCACCAGGTGGCCAGTGTGCTAGATGCTGTCTACATTGTTGGTTGTTGTGGAGGCAATATTCAACACCATGCTGAGGAGTTCATGTATCAAGTGCTGAAGCAGAATCTGTAGCCATCAATAGTCTGTTTGCAGTGAAAACGTACCAATGAATTTACTTTAAACAAAAAAGTAAATCACATAAAGTGAAATTAAGATTGCGAATCCTCATAATTTTACCTTGCCAATTGAACTTTTAAATCTCAGAATTTTATCTAACTTATGATAAAAGTTCTTTAACAAACGATCATAGTTTCAAATCGCTATTATTGGTTTGTATTACAAGGGGGTACGTGCAGTAGTTGGAATAGTGAAGCAGATGCACGTGCGGTCATGATGAGCAATAACTTAGGCTACCGTAGAAACCAACCCTTCTTGTTCTCGGGGTTTCATTTAATGTGCATACCTTGTGTCCTAAGTTGAATAAAATTCTGAGATTTAAATGTTCAATTGGCAAGGTAATGTTATGAGGATTCGCAATCTTAATTTCACTTTATGTGATTTACTTTTTTGTTTAAAGTGAAATTCATCAGTACGTTTTCACTGCAAACAGACTATAGCTAGTGTCGACGAGACAACCACGCTGGTGTAGACAAGACCATCTCTAGTTCATGTTGACGAAACTATTGTACACAAAGTCGGACATCATCTAGTGGGATGTAACGGCCACATGGGGGGAGCCTTGCGGATCACCATCTTCATTCTGTCCTTCACCTTCATGAAGTGTTTCTTGAACTCCAGACCGCACCCCTGCAAACAGATGATAGCGAGTGTCATAATCTTCCTATCATGGGGACTGGGTCATGTGACACAGGGGGCGTCTCACAAGGATGGGGCACCTCGTAATGACATGGGGCATCTCACACGGATGGGGCACCTCGTAATGACATGGGGCATCTCACAAGGATGGGGCACCTCATAATGACAGGGGGCATCTCACAAGGATAGGGCACCTCGTAATGACAGGGGGCATCTCACAAGGATGGGGCACCTCGTAATGACAGGGGGCATCTCACACGGACGGGGCACCTCGTAATGACATGGGGCATCTCACACGGATGGGGCACCTCGGCCATGACAGGGGCATCTCACAAGGATGGGGCACCTCGTAATGACAGGGGGCATCTCAAGGATGGGGCACCTCGTAATGACATGGGGCATCTCACACGGATGGGGCACCTCGTAATGACATGGGGCATCTCACAAGGATGGGGCACCTCGTAATGACAGGGGGCATCTCACACAGATGGGGCACCTCGTAATGACATGGGGCACCTCGTAATGACATGGGGCATCTCACAAGGATGGGGCACCTCAGAATGACATGGGGCATCTCACAAGGATGGGGCACCTCGTAATGACAGGGGGCATCTCACAAGGATGGGGCACCCTCAGAATGACATGGGGCATCTCACAAGGATGGGGCACCTCAGAATGACATGGGGCATCTCACAAGGATGGGGCACCTCAGAATGACATGGGGCATCTCACAAGGATGGGGCACCTCGTGAATGACATGGGGCATCTCACAAGGATGGGGCACCTCAGAATGACAGGGGCATCTTACAAGGATGGGGCACCTCGTAATGACATGGGGCATCTCACAAGGATGGGGCACCTCGTAATGACATGGGGCATCTCACACGGATGGGGCACCTCGTAATGACAGGGGGCATCTTACAAGGATGGGGCACCTCGTAATGACAGGGGGCATCTCACAAGGATGGGGCACCTCCTAATGACAGGGGGCATCTCACAAGGATGGGGCACCTCGTAATGACAGGGGGCATCTCACAAGGATGGGACACCTCGTAATGACAGGGGGCATCTCACAAGGATGGGGCACCTCGTAATGACATGGGGCATCTCACACGGATGGAGCACCTCGTAATGACATGGGGCATCACACAAGGATGGGGCACCTCGTCATGACATGGGGCATCTCACAAGGATGGGGCACCTCGTAATGACAGGGGCATCTTACAAGGATGGGGCACCTCAGAATGACATGGGGCATCTCACAAGGATGGGGCACCTCGTAATGACAGGGGGCATCTCACAAGGATGGGGCACCTTGTAATGACATGGGGCATCTCACAAGGATGGGGCACCTCCTAATGACATGGGGCATCTCACAAGGATGGGGCACCTCGTAATGACAGGGGGCATCTCACAAGGATGGGGCACCTCGTAATGACATGGGGCATCTCACAAGGATGGGGCACCTCGTAATGACAGGGGGCATCTTACAAGGATGGGGCACCTCGTAATGACATGGGGCATCTCACAAGGATGGGGCACCTCGTAATGACAGGGGGCATCTCACAAGGATGGGGGACCTCGTAATGACATGGGGCATCTCACAAGTATGCAGGTCTGGCATCCATAGTGCTACAAAGTTTGCTGTTTCAAAGTTGTGAATAGTTCCTACTTATTGTCAGTTATACCAAGACTAACAGTTACATTTCACAAAAACTTGTCATTAAAACTCTTATAAAAAGGCATTTTTTTTTCATGAGCGATTTGTCACCTTGGAGAGTCTGAAGTCTACCAGTTGGTTATCTCCCATGTCAATAATGCAGGCTTTGAACACCAGGGGGTTGTTCCGCTTGTCCCTTGTTGTCACAGTCAGCTGGAAAAAAGTAAACCATATTAGTGCGGTCTGATCTTACATCAACTTCTCAAGGATAGACATAAGTTGGCCATATCAAAATAACGTTGCACAGTAAAATAACATTTTATCATCCAAAACTGTGTTCCACTGGAGATATTGCTTGTGTGAGATCAAACGATATTTCCTAGGAGCTATCGTTTTAACAGTAGATTTTGAACAATGCCATGCCGTAATCAATTACATGACTCACAATGCTATGACGTAAAAAATCTGATGACATCACAATGCTATGATGTCATAAACTTGATGACGTCACAATGCTAAGACATTGCCTAGGAGTTATCGTTTTGACAGTAGATTTTGTACAATGCCATGCCGTAATCAATTACATGACTCACAATGCTATGACGTAAAAAATCTGATGACATCACAATGCTATGATGTCATAAACTTGATGACATCACAATGCTAAGACATTGCTGCACTGCAAGTCTAATGGCACTACTGTGTTCAGAGATGTACATTTTTCATTGAAAACTTATGAAGAGTGATTTTTTTTATGATAAATTCTCTGAATTCTTGCCAAAAAGATTCTTTTATGCTCACCATGCTGGGACTGCTCTTCTTCCAGGTGTAGCTGAGACTGTCAAACACCTTGTACATCTCACTCAGCGTCTCGTCCCGGAGAGTCTTCACAAAGAAGCGCGTCATTCGTCTCACCAGTTTCTGCATGGGTGTCTATATTGAGGAAAACAGGATGAAGTCTCAGTCAATTGGGTTTCTGGTAGGCAGTTAAGGGTACTAAAGACTACGATTACACTTGGATGCATTCCAAATATCTGCCCAATTCTCAAGGAAAACATGGCCTCACCTGTGACGATCCCGGCGTACCCTGTATCTGGCTACTCAGTAACATCTTGTCTGCCTGCACGGGCTGAGAGAAGCTCATGAGATGGTCCTCTCCACTGCCACCCTCAGTTACCTCCCCTTGTGAGTCAGCCCGATAGACCATAGGCTGACTGCATGACACAGTAGCCCTGGAGAACAGACCATCAGATACACATCGGAAGGAAGACATATATAACCGTTCTCAGAAACAATCTTGTTGTTTCATGATTTTGTATTTTACTGTTTAACAACTTGGAGAATATATCACAAGATACAAATACATCTAGAAACACTATGTAATACACACTGGAGGAAGACATCTGTAAACATACTAAAATAAAACTGCACAAAAAAGGAAAAAATATCCATAAGAAATTACTGAACACAAATACCCAACTTAGAATTGTGTTGAAGTAAAAGTTTTTATGGTTACTTGAAGTATTTATGTAGGTTACTTCAACTTCAAAACAATGATGTAACTTGTAAGACTTACTCTACATGAAACACACAGAGAAATAATTCAATCTTCCCCGAAAAACTACACAAAAATTACCCCTAAATATTCTACATGAGCATGTATTTTTGTTAGTTCCTGTTAAGGTATTTACTGCACATGTTGCTGCTCACCCTGGGGAACATCCGGGCCGGGTTATGTCCATCCGGGAACACAGTCGCTTGTACACCCCGGCACCAGATGGGGAGTCTGTTGGGGAGCCCGATGCCACTCGAGACAGTCCTGCATTAAACAGCCATGTGTACAGAGAACTTCAAATGTGTATTATTTTTTGTTTTGTTTTGTAATTTAAGTTATATTTCTGAATCCCTGTCACAGTCAAGACTCAGGTGCCAGGGAACTGCTCAGTCAGAAGATATGCAGCAATCTAATGGATAACGTGTAAATTTTTACGAAACAAGACAAACCATTCACTCACCATACAAATGTGTATTGTTATATGGCAGTAGTGATGTTCTACCATCTGTGACGTTAACTTCTATCCCTAAGCCTCCTACTGTCTGAAAGTGTATTGTCAACTACCATCCCTAAGTGTCCTTATGAGTGTTTACCAACCCTAAGTGTCCTTGTGAGTGTTTACCACCCCTAAGTGTCCTTGTGTGTTTACATCCCTAAGTGTCGTTGTAAGTGTTGACCATCCCTAAGTGTCCTTGTGAGTGTTTACCATCCCTAAATGTCCTTGTGAGTGTTTACCACCCCTAAGTGTCCTTGTGAGTGTTTACCATCACTAAGTGTCCTTGTGAGTGTTTACCACCCTAAGTGTCCTTGTGAGTGTTTACCATCCCTAAGTGTCCTTGTGAGTGTTTACCACCCTAAGTGTCCTTGTGAGTGTTTACCATCCCTAAGTGTCCTTGTGAGTGTTTACCATCCCTAAGTGTCCTTGTGAGTGTTTTCCATCCCTAAGTGTCCTTGTGAGTGGTAAGTGTCTTACCATCTGAGTGTCTTACCATCTATGAGTGTCTTACCATCTGAGTGTCTTACCATGTATGAGTGTCTTACCATCAGAGCGTCTTACCATCTATGAGGGTCTACCATCTATGAGTCTTACCGTGTGAGTGTCTTACCATGTGAGTGTCTTACCATATGAGTGTCATACCATCTATGAGTGTCTTACCGTGTGAGTGTCTTACCATGAGTGTCATACCATCTATGAGTATCATACCATGAGTGTCATACCATCTAAGTGTCTTACCATCTGATCGTCATACCATCTACGAGAGTCTTACCATCTGAGTGTCTTACCATCTATGAGTGTCTTACCATCTGAGTGTCTTACCATCTGAGCGTCTTACCATCTATGAGTGTCTTACCATCTATGAGTGTCTTACCATCTGAGCGTCTTACCATCTAAGTGTCATACCATCAATGAGTGTCTTACCATCAGAGTGTCTTACCATCTATGAGTGTTATACCATCTATGAGTGTCTTACCATCTATGAGTGTCTTACCGTGTGAGTGTCTTACCATGTGAGTGTCTTACCATGTGAGTGTCTTACCATCTATGAGTGTCTTACCATCTGAGTGTCTTACCATCTATGAGTGTCTTACCATCTATGAGTGTCTTACCATCTATGAGTGTCTTACTATCTGAGTGTCTTACCATCAGAGTGTCTTACCATCTGAGTGTCTTACCATCTATGAGTGTCTTACTATCTGAGTGTCTTACCATCTATGAGGGTCTTACCATCTATGAGAGTCTTACCATCTGAGCGTCTTACCATCTATGAGTGTCTTACCATCTGAGTGTCTTACCATCTGAGTGTCTTACCATCTATGAGTGTCTTACCATCTGAGCGTCTTACCATCTATGAGAGTCTTACCATCTATGAGGGTCTACCATCTATGAGAGTCTTACCCTGTGAGTGTCTTACCATGTGAGTGTCTTACCATATGAGTGTCATACCATCTATGAGTGTCTTACCATCTGAGTGTCTTACCATCTGAGTGTCTTACCATCTATGAGTGTCTTACCATCTGAGCGTCTTACCATCTATGAGAGTCTTACCATCTATGAGTGTCTTATCATCTGAGTGTCTTACCATATGAAACTTACCGTCTATGTCTTACCATCTGAGCGTCTTACCATCTAGAGAGCCTTACCTCTCTTATAGAAGGTCTTCGTGAACCATTGATGCTTCTTTATTTGCTCCATCTTGTAGCGTTTGCTGGCGTTCTCCACAAGTAGTTTTCGTAGCAACGCTACAAACACAGGAGACAACTCCATGAAGTGAAGTTACAGAACAGGGCCTCCTTTCACAAAGCACTAAGTGAAGTTACAGAACAGGGCCTCCTTTCACAAAGCACAAAGTGAAGTTACAGAACAGGGCCTCCTTTCACAAAGCACTAAGTGAAGTTACAGAACAGGGCCTCCTTTCACAAAGCACTAAGTGAAGTTACAGAACAGGGCCTCCTTTCACAAAGCACTAAGTGAAGTTACAGAACAGGGCCTCCTTTCACAAAGCACTAAGTGAAGTTACAGAACAGGGCCTCCTTTCACAAAGCACTAAGTGAAGTTACAGAACAGGGCCTCCTTTCACAAAGCACTAAATTGAAGTTTGGGCCTCCTTTATGAAGTTACAGAACAGGGCCTCCTTTCACAAAGCACTAAGTGAAGTTACAGAACAGGGCCTCCTTTCACAAAGCACTAAGTGAAGTTACAGAACAGGGCCTCCTTTCACAAAGCACTAAGGAAGTTACAGAACAGGGCCTCCTTTCACAAAGCACTAAGTGAAGTTACAGAACAGGGCCTCCTTTCACTAAAGCACTAAGTGAGTTACAGAACAGGGCCTCCTTTCACAAAGCACTAAGTGAAGTTACAGAACAGGGCCTCCTTTCAAAGCACTAAGTGAAGTTACAGAACAGGGCCTCCTTTCACAAAGCACTAAGTGAAGTTACAGAACAGGGCCTCCTTTCACAAAGCACTAAGTGAAGTTACAGAACAGGGCCTCCTTTCACAAAGCACTAAGTGAAGTTACAGAACAGGGCCTCCTTTCACAAAGCACTAAGTGAAGTTACAGAACAGGGCCTCCTTTCACAAAGCACTAAGTGAAGTTACAGAACAGGGCCTCCTTTCACAAAGCACTAAGTGAAGTTACAGAACAGGGCCTCCTTTCACAAAGCACTAAGTGAAGTTACAGAACAGGGCCTCCTTTCACAAAGCACTAAGTGAAGTTACAGAACAGGGCCTCCTTTCACAAAGCACTAAGTGAAGTTACAGAACAGGGCCTCCTTTCACAAAGCACTAAGTGAAGTTACAGAACAGGGCCTCCTTTCACAAAGCACTAAGTGAAGTTACAGAACAGGGCCTCCTTTCACAAAGCACTAAGTGAAGTTACAGAACAGGGCCTCCTTTCACAAAGCACTAAGTGAAGTTACAGAAAGGGCCTCCTTTCACAAAGGTAACCTTAATGCAATGTTTAAGAATGGGAGTTAATTTTAACCTTATTACAGAACAAGGTTGCTTTGTGAAAGGATCGTGTAAGTCCTAAGGTAACCTTAATGCAATGTTTAAGGAATCACCTTATTAAAGGTTGCTTTGTGAAAAGAGCCCCAGGGGAGTTTCATCACTAGTAACAAGCTATATAAGTCTACTGATCTCTGACAGAACCAGCAACAGATGCAACAAATGAACACGTCAGCTCGTAGGAGAGAAGCACAACGTCATGTTTGGCTTAGACATATAATATTCTGAAAATGGTGCTGAAAAGACGATAATCTGCACCAGGACCAATCTGGGCTTCGAATCCACATTCATAGCATTATCACAGCAGGGGACACCAGAAATGGGCTTCACGCATTGTACCCATGTAGGGAATCGAACCCGGGCCTTCAGCGGGACGAGCCAACACTTTAACAACTAGGCTACCCCACCGCCCTGATTCCGCCCTGAATCATGCTGTCAGTATATCAGTGTTGTAATAAAGACTGTGAAGGATCAGCTGATTGTTTTAGATTACTGTATCTGATCAACTATAATAAATACAATATTACGAATCAGGTCGTCCTTATTTAATTTTTAGTAGAACAAGATATGAAATGGACAAAAACAGCTACTTATTGGTATTTTCATCTATTCCAGCAATGTTCCAATCCATCTTGATTTGTGCAGTCAAAACAAAACATACAACTTATTACTAGCAGACGTAGTCATTTCGGAAGTGGCACTTTTACAAAAATCTCCCTTCACCTGCTGCCCCAAACTCTAGAGCAACTACAACTACACAGACTTACACAGGGCCAGATTGTCGATCTTGTTCCAGGGTGTGAGTGTGATCTTACAGTCCTTCCAGTTACAGTACTCCTGACATCCGTACGTCGGTTCATCCCACGGCAGCTCTACAATACACACACACACACCAGTAACAAGGATTATAATTATCACAGTGGCCTGTACATAATCACTGAGTGAGTATAGTTTTACACTGCTTATAGCAATATTCCAGCATTATCACGGCAGGGGACCCTAGAAATGGGCTTCATACCCATGTGGGGAATAGAACCCGGGTCTTCGGCGTGATGAGTGAACACTTTAACCTCTAGGCTACCCCACTGCCAACTGTACATAATCAAGTCAGAGGCAAACCTGTGGTTGATGTAATGAGCAATTTACAAAGGTGACCACACCGGTAATATTGAAAACCTATCTATGAATACCTCAAGTGAATCAATATGATAACTCTATCTTGGCAGCAACTGGCTACCAATACTTCCACTGTCTATCAACACCTCTGCTGTAGATCAGTACGACCACACAGCGAGTGAATGCTGCCGTTGAATAATCTGGACTGGACCAGACAACCCAGTGACTGAAACCATGAACAACAAGTGTTTGCCACTGATATGGCAATGTCCCCCGCCGCAAAAGAATGGAATATCTATATTGACTAATTTACTACTTTTTATTTTTTGGTCACATACAAGATGCCTGAAATGACTGGTGTCTGCCTAATCACCCAATGTAGGCTGTCAACATAATTGAAAACATTGGGTGCAATGTCTTATGAGATCGTGTTTCAATAAGTTTGAAAAGCGGCCAAAGTGTCGTGGTAACCTTGAAGATAAGGTCAAGGTCACCCAAATAAACTGGTGTCCGTGTAATCCCCAAATGTAGGCTGTCTCCAAATTTGAAGACATTTGGGTACAACAGTCCATGAGATATCGCGTTAACAAGAGTTTGAAAAGTGTGCAAAGTGTCGTGGTAACATTGAAGATAAGGTCATGGTCACCCAAATCGACTGGTTTCTGCGTAATACCCCAATGTAGGCTGTCACTAAATTTGAAGACATTTGGTACAACAGTTTATAAAATATCGCATTAACAAGAGTTAAAAGTGGTCAAAGTGTCGTGGTGACCTTGAAAATAAGGTCAAGGTCACCCAATCAACTGTTGTCTGTGTAATCCCCTAATGTAGGCTGTCACCAAATTTGAAGAGATTGGATACAACAGTTCATCAGACAGCACGTTAATAAGAGTTTGAAAAGTGTTCAAAGTGTCATGGTGACCTTGAAGATAAGGTCAAGGTCACCCCAATCAACTGGTGTCTGGGTAATCCCCCCAATGTAGGCTGTCACCACATTTGAAGACATTGGGTACAACAGTTCATGAGATATCACGTTAACAAGAATCGGGACATACGTACCGACGGACGGACGTACGGATGCCACTGAATACATAGTCCCCCGTTCCCGCAATGCAGGGGACAACAAAGCAGACAACACAATCAGAGAGTGAGTATGTTTTTTATGCTGTTTTTAGCAATATTCCAGCAATATCATGATGGAGGGACACCAGAAATCGGCTTCACACATTGTACCCATCTGGGAAAACAAACCCAGATCTTTGGCATGATGAGCAAACGCTTAAACCTGTATGCTAACCCACCACTTCTACTATCAGAGAAGTCACAATGCTCAAACATCTCATCCCCTAAACCCAAACACTCTTAGGGACCAAACTTCCCAGAGATCTGAAAAGAATGTGTGTTACCTCCTGCTAGTAAGGCCACCAGGACGACAGCACAGGACCAGATATCAGCCGGCTCGGCACTGTAGGGTCTGCGACTCAGTACCTCCGGGGCGACGTATGGGACGGTGCCACAGCACTTCTCCAGCATCCTCACACTGCCCTGGAAGCGGAACACCGTTGCCAGCCCAAAGTCCGAAATCTTCAGTTTATCTGGGACAAGGCCAAACAACACTCTTCAATACAAGGCTGGGACTGCCGTCAAGTCACGAGTGAGTGAGTCAATTGAGTTTAATGTTGCTAAAGAGTATTCAAGTCAGAGCGAACTCCAGAAATGGGTTTCACACATTGTACCCATGAGGGGAATCCAGCCCGGGTCTTCAGCATGATGAGAGAACACAAACCACTAGACTACCCCACAGCACACTGATTCACTGTGATATATTGGGAGCTAAAGTGTTTGACAGTGAGTGACACTGATTATACAAGCAGACCCTATCTTCTAGTGATATGGTTCCGATAAGAGTAATCTCAAAATTGCTTGGATAGTTAGGCTTTCTCTCTTTCTTTTTTTTATACTGATTATAGTATGTAAAGTATTTTGTTTCGACAATTAATTATGTAGGAAAACAACAGTTGTGAATGAAAGTCTGAGCAGACTTAAAACACAGAGATAATTACAAAACTTATTACATCTTTTTACCCAATATACCAAAACTCTGAAAAAATATTCAAGGAATATTCCTCATTAGTAAAAATTGCAGTATACCGGTATACTATTAATACAGTCCTAAAACTAGTAAAACTGTGGCAACAGTGTTATCTCACCAGCATCATCAAGTAGCAGGTTCTCCGGCTTCAGGTCTCGGTGTGTTACGCCGCGGGAATGGAGATACTCCTGAAACATACTCCACAATAACTGATGTCGTCCTCTCCTCGGATAGTAGCACACATGCATGTTTCTACAAAGAGGGATGCAAGGCTTCTTACTGTGTTGATGTTATAATGTAGAGTCCTTAACTTTTAATTTTTAAACAAGCACCCTTACAAGCCCTGCACTCAACTGATAGAAGTACCGTTGGGCATCGACCCACCCCAATATCACCACACTACTATAGAGGCACTCACCACCCCTGCCACCAGCTGACAGAAGTACCGTTGGGCATCGACCCACCCCAATATCACCACACTACTATAGAGGTACTCACCACCCCTGACACCAGCTGACGGAAGTACCGTTGGGCATCACCCCACCCCAATACCACCACACTACTATAGAGGTACTCACCACCCCTGCCACCAGCTGACGGAAGTACTGTTGGGCATCACCCCACCCCAATATCACCACACTACTACAGTACTCACCACCCCTGACACCAGCTGACGGAAGTACCTTTGGGCTTCACCCCAGCCCACCCCATATATCACCACACTACTATAGAGGTACTCACCACCCCTGACACCAGCTGACGGAAGTACCGTTGGGCATCACAAAATACCATCCCAATATCACCCCACTACTATAGAGGTACTCACCACCCCTGACACCAGCTGACGGAAGTACCTTTGTGCGTCACCCCAGCCCACGCCATATATCACCACACTACTATAGAGGTACTCACCACCCCTGACACCAGCTGACGGAAGTACCTTTAGGCGTCACCCCAGCCCACCCCATATATCACCACACTACTATAGAGGTACTCACCACCCCTGCCACCAGCTGACGGAAGTACCTTTGGGCATCACCCCACACCACACCACCCCACTACTATAGAGGTACTCACCACCCCTGCCACCAGCCGACAGAAGTACCTTTGGGCATCACCCCCCCCCCCTATATCACCACACTACTATAGAGGTACTCACCACCCCTGCCACCAGCTGACGGAAGTACCGTTGGGGGCCAGCCTGACCCATTCCCACATCAGGTTCTGCAAGATAAAGTGGACAATAAAGACAGTAACCAGTGATCTAAAAACAAAACAAAAAAGTTTAATTTAACATGTTCAAGACCATTAAAAATTAAGTTGACTCACCTATCTGCACGAAGCTTTGATCTACCGCTAACCGTGTGAAGGGAAGTGCGAGAGTCCCACGTGTTTTGACACGAGACATGGCTGGCTAATCCGGATTAATGATCATCAAGGTATTGGTGGTGATTAGAAGGCCTAGCTGACACTGAGTTAACCATTGAGTTCTAACTGTTAAGTTGTTTATTGAGTCAAAGCAATACAAGTGCAGTGCGTCCATAGTCAAGTCAGTCGGTCTTTCAATTGATCACAAATGGCTAGTCAACCTACTAAACGCAAGTGCTACGCAGTGACAGCCAAGAAAAAGAAAGAGATATGTCTGAATAATTGTAAAGGTATGATTGTTATGTTGTGATGCTGTTTTTCAAGGTCTATACATGTACAATAAACGCTTGATGATCATAAACATTTTGGATTTTCCTTGAGGTGTATGAAAACCAAAAATCCAGATATCTGGATATTCAAATATCCGGACGATTTACGTAAAAACGAATGTGTCAGGATATCTGAGGTCTCACTGTATATATATATCCACTGCAGTGGATATATATATATATATATATATATATATATATATATATATATATATATATATATATATATATATATCCACTGCAGTGAACAGAATACTGCCAAAATGTTTGTGGATGTGAATTTGTGCATCCCACTGTGTGTATGCATGCATGTGTGCATATTTTTTCTACAGCTCATTTCCATAACAACCCAGAACACTATTCCTGACCTATTCTGTCAAACAGCTCCCCGCCACAGGCGTACTCCAGGAACAGGTACTGGATCTTGCCATCCTTCCGGAAGCCGTAGAACTTGATGATGGATTCATGTGTCAACATCCGATGAACACAGACCTGGGTGCAAACAGAACTACTTTTTTACAGTGAGTAAGTGAGGGATTAACACTCCTTTGGACAGTGTTCCAGATATATCCCAGTGCTCCAGCTTCACATGGTGAAAAGCCAACCGTTGGTCTGTCTCAGATATTTACGCTTCAGTGAAAGATGTGTAGTCTAGTCCTGACAGACATGGACACACAATCTCAGCAAACTGAGATCAAACACATGACTTGTTTCTGGTGTCCAACTTTATAACACTGAAATAATTGTTTGAGTAAGTGCTGAGGCTGTAAACTGTTAACTTTAAAACTAATTCACAGTCTCATAGGCCTGTAAATTAACATAGATATGTTTAAAAATAATATCAGTAATAGAAAAGAGACAACATTTCCCAATGAAAAAAAGCTGTTTTCAAAATATTTCATATCCATCAGTTCAAAACTTTACAATGCCAACACTTGGGAAATCATTTCAGACATCAATAATTAAATTCAAGTAGGCCAGTAGTGGAAAGGTGGTGAGATTTTCAGCACATTCAGGATTGTTTGTATCCTAGTGCCAACTACATAGGACTATAATCAGTGTAGGAAAGATGTAGAAAATCTAGCCTGTCCACAGGACTGGCAGGTCAAATATTTTACCAGTCCTGCCAAAATCTAGCCTGTCCTCCAAATATAAATAAAACACCTTCGGCAGTAAATATTCAAAAAGGTTATAATCATTATATATATGTCATTGGTTTGCTAAAATTGACCCGACATGAGGACGGACTGGATATTTTTTTAACCCGTCCTCCACAAAATTCACCCGTCTCGGACGTTGGGACGGGCTATCTTTCCTACACTGCTATAATGAATATATTTATGAGTGCCCTGTGTTATTCTAATAATATAAAATAGTACATCAATAACAGATATTCAATCAATAACAGATATTCAAAAGTCTCGATTGTCCTCCTTAGAAGATTCCATTGGGCATACATAGCAAATAAGTCGTGAGAACTTACGAAATAGTGATAAGCAGTATCTAACCACAGGGAGGGCGACAGGAAAATCTATTTTCAGTTGAATGCTTAATAACGTGCAATCAAATGGGGGGTTCAGATGATTCACAGAATTAATCGATTTGAAATAAAATCAGCGGAAATCTGTGGATCAGCGGACAATTGCCATAACTATAATACTTTGGATATTCATTACAACTCAGTCACAGCAGGTAACAGTAGAGAGTGTCCCCACCTCCTTCCGCACATTCTCCTCTGCTGTTGGGGTCTTCTCAAGGTTGATGATCTTCACAGCAACAGCTTCCTGGGTCTCATTGTTGACAGCAAGCTTCACTCTGAACAACAGCATATACCATTAAAGCTCTCTCAACAGAGGTACCATAACAGGGCTAATACCTAATACTTAAGTTTGCATTTAAGTCCTGTGAACGGCCCTCTCAATTTGCATGTACTTAGTTTCAAATACATTTTTGTATTGGCAAATCTGAAAGTACCAGAGAAAATTGAGATGTCCTAATTGTCCACTATTTATAGTAGGAGTGGGCAGATGTTTACCAGTGAAGCTATCTGTCCTCATTAAATTTAGACATTTAATGTTACTATTGATGGCAACCTAATTAAGACAGAAAAATTAACCATGGCATCAAAGAGAATAGTGACCATGGTAACTCCCTGATTCTCAATCCGGCACACCTACACCAGGTAACCATGGCAACACAGGGACTGCTCACTCTCCCAGAGCCTATATAAAGTAACCATGGCAACACAGGTAATACTCACTCTCCATATGCTCTCGCCCCCAGAACCTGCACAAAGTAACCATGGCAACACAGGGACTACCCTAGGGCTGGGAGGGGTCCAAATTTTCTACCCAGGTACCCCACCCCCTATTACCCTAACCTACTTGGATACCAGTTATGTTAATTCCTGACATCAAATTTGAAAGAAATGGCAATATATTTTTCAGCTCGGAGGCTAAAATTTTGAGTTTTTTTCAATATGGATAATATTTTGTTGATATCTCACAGGCTTTTTATATGTTATGACAATTAAATTAACTGTTTATATAATTTCATTTGTCTATTTCACCACACGTTCTTCTTACCGAGTCACTTTCTCAGTTCGATACTTGAGAGCAATGTCATTATTTAGCGTTGACAGAATTTCTAACTGTGATATAGATATGTCGTTGTCACAGACAAAACTCAATGTCTTGTTTTATTGACACCTGTGTGTCTGCCTGTCTGTCTTCTAATGACAATATTCAATACACAGCTGCTATCACTGACCACATGCAATTTGAACTTAACACCAATCAGGCTATACACCATAAACAAAATGCATTGATTTATGGCCCGAGTTCGGTCTCTGTCACATTATGTAATTACACAGACAGGCAGATGTGATACTTGAACACATGACATGTTATGATGTCTGTTGATTGCAAAATGTTATACACAAAAAATGAGCATGTATTTACAAAACCCAACATCTCTATATATACACACACAATGAGCCAGGTATTGAGACGGGTACCCGGGTCCAATTCATTACCCACCCGTCCCGGGTATTCGGGTTACCCGTCCCAGCCCTAGAATACTCACTCTCCATATGCTCCCTCCCCTAGAACCTGCACAAAGTCCCAGCCATCCACGAATGCTGTCACCATCCTCGTCACCTCACATCACTGACACGAATACTGCAAATAACAATATTATGGTGAACAAGGATATGGACTGTCACTAACAAATGACCTGAATCTTGTTCTTTACAACTACAAACATAAACATGGCCACTTGTAGAGAGAGTTCATGGAGACCTATTGTGTTAGAAGACACTAATAAAAAATGCCTCACTTATGTCACATATACCATCACAGAGAACAACAGGCACAGAAGCAATAGTCTCCTGGCAGTAACAAAGAACGCCAGGAGACGTTTGTTTCTTGCGCCTATTTTGCCAACATGTGAAACTTGCTTTAAAATACCACTGATGTAAGCTACGAGATAACTTGTAGTGGCAAATTTGGCCAGAATTGATACTACGAGTATACTTGTGATAGGCAGTCAACGTGTTAAGTTGGAACGTAATCACCCACTTGACGCAGCTATCCTCCCTAGAGATTTGTCTGTCGACATTTCATCATTCACAAACTACCTTTCAACATTCAACAAAGATGAAAATAAAACAAATGGCAGAAGTTAAAGATACTCATTTGATGATGAAATCTGTTGTTGACTGATGACACTAATACGGTTGCCAATCTCCATCATATTTTAAAACTTCTTTTATCAAAGCAATATTTCTGTTAATGTCCAATTTTCAATGTTTATTAATTGCTTCGGTTTTCAATTTTGAAGTTTAATCATACAGGCAGTATCATAAAATAGGAAGAGTATTCTTTTTCTATTTTTAACTTCAGTCTCATTTTAAGAATGGTGGTGTATTAAACATAAGGTTTGCGCTTAATTCATCTGTTTTGAATGGAGATGTGATAAAAAAAGGGATTTTTTAACCTTTTATTTGTGTGAAGAAAACTTCTGTGTTTACCACACTTCCCAAGAATATCAACATTACTTGTTGGACATGGTAAAGGGGAATTAAGGGACCAATCCTATGATCAGAAAACTTCGATTTTTATGTGTCTGGTAGGCTGTAATCTAACTAATGATGAGCAAACAGACAAACAACAGTTGTGGGACAACTGACTTAGCGATCACCAACTAATACTGAACTAAACCGGCAGCTGTCTTGTCGGATGTTGTTGACATCGCGACTGGAAATGAGATTAACTTCATTTAGCTGCATGTGTTCATGATCTACAAAGAAACGTGTGACTGAATACCGTTAAGTGTGACATCAAATGTTGTATAATTTAGCATCTGTGTTCAACAGCAGAAAAGTCTCATCGTGTCTTCTTCTCGTTTTCCCATTTCGTGCTTACCGCCATTGCTGTTTGTCACGTGATTTAGTGGTATCACGTGATACATATAAATATCCCTAGACATATTAGGTGAATCCGTACATCGTGGTTCAGAAATGCAGAAAGAAAATAAAAAATGCACGGAATGAAATATTTTACCGCAGCTCCCGATCGCCGAAACTGAGAGTCTATCTGTACAGATGAAAAGAAGCGTCGACGACACTGTGCGAGGCATGAATTAATAGTGTGCACACTGGTATCAAGTGAACAAACCGTTATTTATATTGAAAAGAAGCGACAAAACCTTTTCCACATCCATAAGAAAGAGTTGACTGTACAAATCTGACAATATCATGAGTATGTGTAAGTTGTAGTATTATCGCTGTACGTGGTTGTTTGTAAACAATCGAGTCTGGATCAGACAATCCAATGATTTTCACCATATATACGAAAAATAAAAGAAGTTGTTATCAATAACGTTTTTTCTTCAATATTGTACTTCTCAGCTTCTAAAATGCTTCTCAAAGACGTCAACCGTTATTAGCGTTAAGATTATGACAATCCTGAAGATCTGATAAAGGCTAACGGTGATCTCATTAGAGATCATTAGAATGTAGGACAAAAGCCCATATATGGATAACAGCCCTATAGTCCATTGAAACATTCCCACCTCTTCTAAAAGCTGGCCCCGAACTTAGCAAAGGGCTACACGAGGTTCAACATTAATACTAAACATAGTGTAATATTTGATTGATATTCTTGCGTAATTGTTTTCAACTTTAAGTACACTTTTACTTTGAATATATGAAAGAAAGGTAGTATTTACTGGTATTTGTATATTTGAAAATTGGTATTTAATCCCAACCCTATAAAAGGATATAGAGAAGTTTGTGTAAGTTGAGCAGTAGCAATGTGAATAAGATTCATTACAGTACTCGATCAATAAAATGGACATGATCACTGAGTGGGTATAAAGTAGTTTTCGGCGTTTGTATGACTATCAGTAGCATTGCCCAATGACCTTTGAACTAAAGGCCGATGGCAATGTATCCACAACAATCGAGTTACAGTATAAATGTTAGTCATAAATGATGTGCTGTAATATTGACCAGCTCGACAGAAGTAACAACATAACAACCCCTTTTAACCATTCCTTTATCTTTGAGTCAGATAACGCCCAGTAAACGAATTTCTGGCCAACTGAATCCTTTGTCAAACCACCACTGCACCCTAAAAAATACATACTAGTATATATACACATTTGGCAGTTATATAAACCAGAGACCATATAATAGATAGTAATCATCTATTACATGGTCTCTGTATAAACACACAGTATCTTTGTTTATTAGATATATAACAGGTTGGCAGTTTTATACACAGTACCTTAGTCTGATATTCTAATAACATATGTTATATTGGGGATTACAGCAACTATTAACACCAACTTATGGAATCGTTGTGGAATTTTGGTTAAATGGCAAAGATAAAATCTGAAACAAAACGTGTCTGTTGCTGATGCCACAAGCTAAGACTAACAGAAGTTGTCACCAAGGGTCAACCCGTGAAGGTCCGGGGTAGAATTGATCTTCAGTAATCCATGCTTGTCGTAACCCATGCGCGACTAGCGGGATCGGGTGGTCAGGTTAGCTGACTTCGTTAATTGACACATGTCATCGGTTCCCAATTGCGCAGATCGATGCTTTTATGCTGTTGATCTCTGGATTGTCTGGTCCAAACTCGATTATTTACAGACTGCCGCCATATAGCTGGAAAACTGCCGAGTGTGGTGTAAAACTAAACTCACTCACCAAGGGTCAATTAAGAAGTTATCAAACAACTAAATTGGAATCAATGGCAATTGAAATACCTTTTTCCGACCAAACCTCTCTGGTCACCTCGATCGGCAGACAGACCACTGATGTAATGAATATTTGACCGGTCAACCAGTCCACCGCCGTGAAGTTGCTGGAATATTGCTAAAAGCGGCGTAAAACCAAACTCAGTCAGTCAACCAGTCCAGAAACGGACTTTGTGACGTTCATAGTTTATGGCCGAAGCTGTGAATAAATACAGCGATGTGATTTATTGAAACCTTGAGGCACCTCCAGAGTTCTCTCAGAGATATTTCTAGAGTTCTCCAGCAGACGCCCAAAGACTTCTAATAGACTTAATGAAGTATGCAAAAATGTTTCTGCAATTTGTGTCCAGTCCCAACCGTCCTGTTGTATTTTCTCGTGGTTATTCTTAAATGTGCTCTAGATCTGATTCACGTGGGAAATATTAATTAATATGTTCAATTCATCTGCTAAATGTACATCTCTTGAATCATTTTTAACACGCAAAAGACTATTTCATAGACACTCAACTCCTGCTTGCAATGACCAGATGGGGAACCTAGTAGCCAAACTCGAAATCACCCTGTCTATTTGATCATGAAACTTTTATATGATTCGAAACAAACACATATTTCAAAATACCATGTTTCCATGTACTATGGTTTTACTAGATCGAAATTAATAGACACAACAGTTTAAACAAAAGTTCCTAATCTGAATAAATAGTGTATGATACTTCGATTTCAGCAACTGTGCAATATCATTATTGTCAGACATTAGTTGATCCATTTCCATTTTGATTTCAGTAAAAAAGATGCCAGCCTGTATCCACAACGCCTTTAGTTATGGATTATGTACCATACCATTGGGACATCCCTGAGCTACATTCGGTAATTCAAGTAATTACTTGGGCGTAAGCTAAACATTGGTTAGTTTACGCCCAAGTGTCGTATATTTAGTTTGGTACACATAACTCAACTAAAGGAACATGAGTAGATTCTCTTTTGCATATGCTAATGACGAGGAACATGTTTTAGGCTATTTTGGTTAGGGTTTCAACCAATTCTGTTCAGAAGCTCCACCCCTGTGCATGTGCCGAGCGAAATATCACTGTGAGGAGTTAGTTGTAGCCAATCAAAACGCCAAACACCAGTGACGCGCTTGGTGACATGCCTAGCGACGGCTATTATCCCCGTGGCGTCTGAAAGGAAAGATTTAGAGAGTCGGAATGGCGCAAAAATCAAACATGACCCAAGCTGATCAAGAAATAGAACTCCCTAAATCGTGCCTAGCCCCGACAGAAGATTCGCTTCAAAGACTTACACGTGGATATGGGTAAATATTACTGTGTTATTGATTTTAAATGTGTTTGAGTATTGGGTCCCGCATCAGTAGAATCGTATTCTGATATGATCGAGTGATGGGGTGACTTGAATCGTATGTTCGAGAATGAATGTAAACATAACTTATAGTATTCTGTAACAGCAGGATAGGAAGATCTGTCATAAAAGATAAAGAAAGTCACTGAAAGCCAGCTGTGAAAGTGTGATCAAAGGTTTTTGGACGTCATACGTTTTAGGACGACAGTGTTCTCTCGGTCTGTAATGTGGGGTGTTGGTGTCACACAGACCATGTGAACTTGTCTTCAGGATAAAGTTATCTTTAATAATGTAGTGACATTATGCGATAATCGAGACAACATCGGATGTTCTTATGTGTCCGAAAACCCATAACAAATCAATCACTGTTCCAAGCACTTAGCACAGTCTGTGTTTCTTGCTTATTTATGGTTGTGTTCAGGTGCTACCCATGTAGCTATGTGGCAGTGGTAGCTAAATAATCAAGTCTGGACCAGGTAATACAGAGCCTGACATGAGAGTGATATTCTACAGTGGGTTCCATGCAGATTGGGCTGTCAGTGAGTCTGGCCTCCCATCTCATAGTCACCTCTTAAGAGGAGTTGCTAAAAGACCACATCTAACACAGATCTTAACTGGTCTTAATTTCGTCACAGCCAAACTTTACATAGATCATCTGACACCCTTGACATTTACATTATAACCAGCAAGTGACCATCTACAATGTAGTGATGAATAGATGTAAAAATATACACATTTGCAGGATGATTGGACCATTGCCAGCTTGGAATAAAAACCTGAGTATAGCTTTATGTACTTTCACTGTCAAATTAAATTAAATTATTTTATCAATTCAGAAAAACATTCAGAAAATTGTATGTATAATTTTCGATTGATGCTTGGTAAAGATTGATTTTGTCCTTTCAGCTCCTAATAATACTGTTAGTGATATTTTGCTACTCAGTATTCAGTTTTGCATTAGTTTTCTTTATTATGACATGGCAGAGGCAAGTATTCTCTCACATTTATTACTACTACTTTAGGAACACATTTATTAAACTGAATTGTATGTGCAGCTGATTTCATTGTGTTGTGACCAAATATTGTGTGGGAAGTGTATGATATGTTACATAATGGATAGAGATATCATACTGGAGGAATGTCCAACATTTCAGGAAGTAACTATTTCTATGTTCCCTAGGTCAGGGCTACACAAGATACCAAAGTTCTTAAAGTTCTAAAAGAATTGTATTTAGAAGTAATACACATAAAGGGGGAAATTTATGGATGTTAGCTTCTGTTTTGAAAAACACAACATTTCGGAAGTTGACATCCATAGATCCCCCACATTAGAATCAATACCATTGAAAGTATTAACTCGTACATGTTGCCTTTAAAATGAATACATGTTGTTCTGTTCCTATATTATCAGTTCAATGGTGAGCCTCCTTAACTTTATGTCGGAACAAGCTGAAATGGAGAAGAAATGTGTCCAAATCTATGCAGAGTTTGAAACAAAGTTTAAGGAGAAGGCCCTTATTGAAATTGGTAAGTTTTAAAACATGCTGACTTATCCATCCATCCACCCATCCATTTTGAAACATTTTATCCTGAAAATATATGTGATTTAATTTATGTTTTTCTTGGTATTAGAAATAAATTTCCATCAAATGTGACTCAGTATTGACAAATTCTGTATTAATTACCACATCTATATAGGCGGCAGCATGGCAGAGAATGATGTGAATGCTGTCTTGAAAATCTGGATGGCCTCTTTCAAGGAAAAGCAGGACCAGCATAACAAGTTATTAAACTCATTGCATGCTGAGGATGGCCCCATTAGGAGCCTTCAGAGGTAAGTACTATTTGAATTCAAAGAGAGGTAATTGTGTACCAGGGCATGGAGTCCCCCCAAAATGTTTATGGAGCAGTTCAAAAGGTCGATGTTTATAAACAACACCCAAAGATAAATATGATTGCTTGTCAGAATTAACAACAGATCCAATGATTGTGTTGAAATCGTGAATGGTCCTCTTGTCTTTCTCAGGTACATTAACTCAGAAAAGGTCAAGGCTGAAAGGGAGGCAATTCTGTCACACATTGTAGAGGCAAGGGAAAAGCAGGCAGTGCTGGAGAAGGAAACCAGACAGCAGCAGGAGGTCAGTGTTCGTCATGTTTATACTGAAACTGACTTTCCTAATCCATAATGTCTTCTTCCTAGTTGGGGCGGTGGGGTAGCCTACTGGTTAAAGTGTTCGCTCGTGACGCCAAAGGCCCGGGTTCGATTCCCCATATGGGCACAATGTGTGTCACCCGTTGTGATATTGCTGGAATATTGTTAAAAGCGACGTAAAACTATACTCACTCACTCACTCTTCCTAGTTAATTAATGAGGCATCATGTATGCACAAATTCAACAGGGATATTCACTTAGTATGCGGGCTGACTTGCCTGACCCATGAAATTAAAGTGCTTGACAAGGGGGATTAAAATAATCATTAAATACTTGTGCTCCGACCTGGACAACTGCAGTGTTAGTTTTCCTCTTGAAAAAAATTTCAGTCCTAAAACAAAAACACCTAAAAGTGTAACAATAACCCCCCAAATCTAGTGGAGGACAAAACAATATGAAAAGATGTTTCAATATTCTTGGTTAGGCAAGTACCAGTGGGTGTCCCATGATAATGACTCTTGGTTAGAATTCACTGAGCTTGTCAACTTCAAAACAGACTGCACATGTAGAATAATTAAGTTTACTTGCTGTTTGGCATGTAGGAAATTGTTTTTGAGCATGCTTGATACCAGGTGTTGTAGTTGGTCTTAAATATCCTGTTGTGATGTTTTAAGTTTAATCGGAACATCAAAAGTATTGGCACACATATTTTCACAAAGGCACACCTAACTTATCTGTCTAGCTCCCTAATATTATGGCACCCTTTGAAAAATTGTATTTCTATCCCTGCATTACTAGCCTGACCCAGGCCTAGTGGCTGAAGTCATTGACTTCTGTATGATCATCTTGTGTTGTAGTTTCCCCTGAGAATGAGATGTTTGGTCCTCACCGTTCACTACATTCTATTCACAGGACTTCTTCATGGCGAAACACAAGGAGGTTGACTTGAAGCTGCAGCTGGATGCTGCACATGACGACCATGCCAAATATGGTGCACTGATGATGGAGTGGAAGAAACTGGAGGCGGATGTTGAGATGGCCAAGATCACCTACAGACAGAAACTGGGAGAGGAAAAATCAACACGAACGACTTTCATAAACGTAGGTTCTTGTGCTGGGATTGTAACAGTGTGTGATGTTCATACCTCATCTAGTTGCAGCGATTAAAGGTTATTACAAGTGTATATTAGTTTCATAAATGCAGGTCCTTTTGCAGGGATGTTATCAGTGTGTCTGACATTTGTACCTCATCTGTGCAGGGATAACTGGTTTACATAAGGGAATCAATGGGAATATTTTGGACACTCTGTGGCAATAAAATGTGGAAATGGTATATGAATACCATGGGATTACTTTTGGTCTGTGTTTTTCAGTCTTGGTCAAAATACTACTTTTCAGGAAATGAAAAGATTCCAGGATCAGTCTGATGGTCTGGAGAAGGGCCGCCTCCAAGTCCTGCAACAGGTGATGACCTCCATGATACAAAGCAGCAAATCAGCAGAATCCAAGAGGTAGATATCATGAGCTAGCATTGTCATCAGTGTTTACAGATACGGACATGTATACCAATAGACTGAACGTTAAGCTGTGTACATAAATATTCAGCTCGTACAATCACATACATCTCACTGTTACACATGCAACAAATTTAATATCACATGTTCATTGAATTGGTTCAGTGAAATATTTGTGTTTGATCTGCCATGAGAATCTAAAAGTGTGACTAATGTCACAAGGCACATGAAACATATATGATATTAGGGTGCCAAGTTAGCTCAACTAAGTTTTACTCAGCAGCTTGGTGGAGTAGCTTTTCTCAGAGCAATTCTCAGAATAGTCAGAACTGGCAGTTCCAGCTTCTACCACCTGTTGTGGTTACAATGCTTCTAATTTTCTGTTTCTCAAATGTGTACATCTTATTCTAGGAAAGAGAGACTGGAGCCATTATTTGATGAAGGAATTTCCCATCTTGAGAAATATGACATTGAGAGAGAAATTGCCCTCTTCAATGAGCACAATGTGTACAGACATGAGTTTCCTGTGGAACAGGTGAGTGGAAGAGTGTACTGGAGTGTACTGGGGACACATGTTGAATGGTGGGGGTGGAACAGGTGAGTGGAAGAGTGTACTGGAGTGTACTGGGGACACATGTTGAATGGTGGGGGTGGAACAGGTGAGTGGAAGAGGGTACTGGTGTGTACTGGGGACACATGTTGAATGGTGGGGGTGGGGCAGGTGAGTGGAAGAGTGTACTGGTGTGTACTGGGGACACATGTTGAATGGTGGGGGTGGGACAGGTGAGTGAGTGTACTTGTGTGTACTGGGGACACATGTTGAATGGTGGGGGTGGAACAGGTGAGTGGAAGAGGGTACTGGAGTGTACTGGGGACACATGTTGAATGGTGGGGGTGGAACAGGTGAGTGGAAGAGTGTACTGGTGTGTACTGGGGACACATGATGAATGGTGGGGGTGGGACAGGTGAGTGGAAGAGTGTACTGGTGTGTACTGGGGACACATGTTGAATGGTGGGGGTGGAACAGGTGAGTGGAAGAGTGTACTGGTGTGTACTGGGGACACATGTTGAATGGTGGGGTGGAACAGGTGAGTGGAAGAGTGTACTGGTGTGTACTGGGGACACATGTTGAATGGTGGGGGTGGGACAGGTGAGTGGAAGAGGGTACTGGTGTGTACTGGGGACACATGTTGAATGGTGGGGGTGGAACAGGTGAGTGGAAGAGTGTACTGGTGTGTACTGGGGACACATGTTGAATGGTGGGGGTGGAACAGGTGAGTGGAAGAGTGTACTGGTGTGTACTGGGGACACATGTTGAATGGTGGGGGTGGAACAGGTGAGTGGAAGAGGGTACTGGTGTGTACTGGGGACACATGTTGAATGGTGGGGGTGGGACAGGTGAGTGGAAGAGGGTACTGGTGTGTACTGGGGACACATGTTGAATTGTGGGGTTGGGACAGGTGAGTGGAAGAGTGTACTGGTGTGTACTGGGGACACATGTTGAATGGTGGGGGTGGAACAGGTGAGTGGAAGAGTGTACTGGTGTGTACTGGGGACACATGTTGAATGGTGAGGGTGGGACAGGTGAGTGGAAGAGTGTACTGGTGTGTACTGGGGACACATGTTGAATGGTGGGGTTGGAACAGGTGAGTGGAAGAGTGAACTGGTGTGTACTGGGGACACATGTTGAATGGTGGGGGTGGAACAGGTGAGTGGAAGAGTGAACTGGTGTGTACTGGGGACACATGTTGAATGGTGGGGGTGGAACAGGTGAGTGGAGGAGTGTACTGGTGTGTACTGGGGACACATGGTGAATAGTGAGGGGTGGGACAGGTGAGTGGAAAGAAGTGTACTGGTGTGTACTGGGGACACATGTTGAATGGTGGGGTTGGAACAGGTGAGTGGAAGAGTGAACTGGTGTGTGTACTAAGGGACACATGTTGAATGGTGGGGGGTGGAACAGGTGAGTGGAAGAAAGTGTACTGGTGTGTACTGGGGACACATGTTGAATAGTGGGGGTGGAACAGGTGAGTGGAAGAAGTGTACTGGTGTGTACTAGGGACACATGTTGAATGGTAGGGGTGTGGGACAGGTGAGTGGAAGAGGAGTACTGGTGTGTACTGGGGACACATGTTGAATGGTGGGGGTGGAACAGGTGAGTGGAAAGAGGTACTACTGGTGTGTACTAGGGACACATGTTGAATGAGAGTAGAGGTGGAACAGGTAAAGTGGAAGAAAGTGTACTGGTGTGTACTAGGGACACATGTTGAATGGTAGAGGTGGAACAGGTGAGTGGAAGAGTGTACTGAGGTGTGTGTACTGGGGACACATGTTGAATGGTAGAGGGTGGAACAGGTGAGTGGAAAGAAGTGTACTGGTGTGTACTAGGGACACATGTTGAATAGTGAGAGGTGGAACAGGTGAGTGGAAAGAGTGTACTGGTGTGTACTGGGGACACATGTTGAATGAGTGAGGTGGAACAGGTGAGTGGAAGAAGTGTACTGGTGTGTACACAGGGACACATGTTGAATAGTGAGGGTGGAACAGGTGAAGTGGAAGAAGTGTACTGGTGTGTTCTGGGGACACATGTTGAATAGTGAGGGTGGGACAGGTGAGTGGAAAAGAGGTACTGGTGTGTACTGAGGGACACATGTTGAATGGTAAGGGAGTGGAACAGGTGAGTGGAAAAAGTGTACTGGTGTGTACTGGGGACACATGGTGAATGGTGGGACAGGTGAGTGGGGGAGTGTACTGGTGTGTACTGGGGACACATGTTGAATGGTGGGGTTGGAACAGGTGAGTGGAAGAGTGAACTGGTGTGTACTGGGGACACATGTTGAATGGTGGGGGTGGAACAGGTGAGTGGGAAGAGTGTACTGGTGTGTACTGGGGACACATGTTGAATGGTGGGTGTGGGACAGGTGAGTGGGAAGAGGGTACTGGTGTGTACTGGGGACACATGTTGAATGGTAGAGGTGGAACAGGTGAGTGGAAGAGGGTACTGGGTGTGTACTGGGGACACATGTTGAATGGTGGGGTGGAACAGGTAAGTGGAAGAGTGTACTGGTGTGTACTGGGGACACATGTTGAATGGTGAGGGGTGGAACAGGTGAGTGGAAAGAGTGTACTGAGGTGTGTACTGGGGACACATGGTGAATGGTGGGGGTGGAACAGGTGAGGTGGAAGAGTGTACTGGTGTGTACTGGGGACACATGTTGAATGGTGTAGGGGTGGAACAGGTGAGTGGAAGAAAGAGTGTACTGGTGTGTACTGGGGACACATGTTGAATAAGTGGGAGGTGGAAAAGAGTGTACTGGTGTGTACTAGGGACACATGTTGAATAGTGGGTGTGGAACAGGTGAGTGGGAAGAAGGTACTGGTGTGTACACAGGGACACATGTTGAATGGTGGGGTGTGGGACAGGTGAGTGGAAAGAGTGTACTGGTGTGTACTGGGGACACATGTTGAATGAGTGGGGGTGGAACAGGTGAGTGGGAAGAGTGTACTGGTGTGTACTGGGGACACATGTGGTGAATGGTGAGGTGGAACAGGTGAAAAGGAAGAGGTACTGGTGTGTACTGAGGGACACATGTTGAATGGTGAGGGGTGGAACAGGTGAGTGGAAGAAGTGTACTGGTGTGTACTAGGGACATATGTTGAATGGTAGGGGTGGGACAGGTGAGTGGGGAGTGTACTGGTGTGTACTGGGGACACATGTTGAATGGTGGGGGTTGGAACAGGTGAGTGGAAGAAGTGTACTGAGGTGTGTACTGGGGACACATGTTGAATAGTGAGGGGTGGAACAGGTGAGTGGAAAGAGGTACTGGTGTGTACTAGGGACACATGTTGAATGGTGGGGGTGGAACAGGTGAGTGGAAAGAAGTGTACTGGTGTGTACTAGGGACACATGTTGAATGGTGAGAGGTGGAACAGGTGAGTGGAAAGAGTGTACTGGTGTGTACTGGGGACACATGTTGAATGAGTGGGGAGTGGAACAGGTGAGTGGAAAGAGGGTACTGAGGTGTGTGTACTGGGGACACATGTTGAATGGTGAGGGGTGGAACAGGTGAGTGGGAAAGAGTGTACTGGGTGTGTACTGGGGACACATGTTGAATGGTGAGGGGGTAGAACAGATGAGTGGAAGAGGTACTGGTGTGTACTGGGGACACATGTTGAATGAGGTAGAAAGTGGGAACAGGTGAGTGGAAAAGTGTACTGGTGTGTACTAGGGACACATGTTGAATAGTGGGGGTGGAACAGGTGAGTGGAAGAGAGGTACTGGTGTGTACTAGGGACACATGTTGAATGGTGGGGGTGGAACAGGTGAGTGGAAGAGTGTACTGGTGTGTACTAGGGACACATGTTGAATGGTGAAGGGGTGGAACAGGTGAGTGGAAGAGTGTACTGGTGTGTACTGGGGACACATGTTGAATGGTGGGGTTGGAACAGGTGAGTGGGGAAAGAAGTGTACTGGTGTGTACTGGGGACACATGTTGAATAGTAGAGGGGTGGAACAGGTGAGTGTGGAAAGAGGTACTGGTGTGTACTAGGGACACATGTTGAATAGTGAGGGTGGAACAGGTGAGTGGAAGAGTGTACTGGTGTGTACTGGGGACACATGTTGAATGGTAGAGGGGTGGAACAGGTGAGTGGAAGAGGTACTGGTGTGTACTAGGGACACATGTTGAATGGTAGAGAAAGTAGAACAGATGAGTGGAAAGAGAGTACTGGTGTGTACTGGGGACACATGTTGAATAGTGAGAGGTGGAACAGGTAAGTGGGAAGAGTGTACTGGTGTGTACTGGGGACACATGGTGAATGGTGAGGCACTGGGGTGGAACAGGTGAGTGGAAGAAGAGGAGTACTGGTGTGTACTGAGGGACACATGTTGAATAGTGGGGAGGTGGAACAGGTGAGTGGGAAGAAGTGTACTGATGGTGTGTACAGGGGACACATGGTGAGAATAGTGAAAGGGGTGGAACAGGTAAGTGGAAGAAGTGTACTGGTGTGTACTAGGGACACATGGTGAATGGTGAGAGGTGGAACAGGTGAGTGGAAGAGAGGTACTGGTGTGTACTGGGGACACATGGTGAATAGTGGGAGTGGAACAGGTGAGTGGAAGAGGGTACTGGTGTGTACTAGGGACACATGGTGAATGGTGAGGTGGAACAGGTGAGTGGAAGAGAGGTACTGGTGTGTACTAGGGACACATGGTGAATAGTGGGGTGGAACAGGTGAGTGGAAGAGTGTACTGGTGTGTGTACTGGGGACACATGGTGAATGGTGGGGAATTGGAACAGATGAGTGGAAGAGGGTACTGGTGTGTACTGAGGGGACACATGGTGAATGAGTGAGAGAGTGGAACAGGTGAGTGGAAGAGGGTACTGGTGTGTACTGGGGACACATGGTGAATGGTGGGGGTGGAACAGGTGAGTGGAAGAGAGGTACTGGTGTGTGTACTGAGGGACACATGGTGAATGTGAGGAGGTGGAACAGGTGAGTGGAAGAGGGTACTGGTGTGTACTGGGGACACAT